AATAATAATAATAATAATAATAATAATAATAATAATAATAATAATAAGCGGCAGCTGGGATATCAGAGGAGTTCAATATCACCGTCGGCGTACACCAGGGCTCTGCTCTCTCACCACTGCTGTTCATTCTGGTGATGGATACAATTACACACGATCTGTACACGCCCGCCCCATGGACGCTGCTCTACGCCGATGATGTGTTCCTGGCCAACCTGCGCAAGGCTGAACTCGAGCACCTAGTCCAACAGTGGCACGACCGCCTCGAGCAGTCCGGGCTCCGGCTGAACCTAAAGAAGTCCGAATACCTGACCACTGACAACGAAACGACAGGCTCCATCCACGTGAACGGGCAGGAGCTACCGCGCGCCTCCACCTTCAAGTACCTGGGAACTACTCTTGGGGAAGAAGGCCTACTACAAACTGAGGTGGCAGCCAGGATCAACGCAGCGTGGGGCAAATGGAAGTCCGTCACGGGCGTCCTCTGTGACAAGAAGATGCCGATGCGCCTGAAGGCGAAAATCTATAACTCTGTGGTGCGTCCCGTGGCCATATACGGCGCAGAGTGCTGGCCGACGACCAAAGAAGTTGAAAGCAGACTCCAGACAATGGAGATGCGAATGCTCCGATGGTCGGTAGGCCTCACCCTACTCGATCGCGTCAGGAACGAAGACGTGCGTAGACGGTTCAACGTCGTGCCCATCCCCACGGTCATGAGGCAGTCCCGGCTACGATGGTTCGGCCATGTGAGTCGCGCTAAGGAAGAATCCATCATCAAATCTGCGATGAAGGTGACTGTCGGAGGAGCGAGACCGCGTGGTAGACCTAAGCAACGCTGGATGGACACGATCAAGGCCGATCTAGAGATCGCGAAGGCAGACCCGACATACGTGGCAGACAGGGAGGTGTGGAAGCAATACTCAAGGACATTAGCGGACCTCGCCAGAGCGCAAGACAAACGCTGAAGAAAAAGAATAATAATAATAATAATAATAATAATAATAATAATAATAATAATAATAATAATAA